TCGAACCCGCCACCTTAGGTGTACGTGGCTGGCGCCTTAGCCGGTTGAGCTATAGGCGCTGAGCCAGGTGATTTCTTTCTTAATCTCATCTTTGACCCAGCCATCATTCAGCCTAAGATTATTTAGCTTCCATGAATTTGTTTGAGAATGATTCCTGTTGCTGTTGAGTTCAACTTTTATTCCATAGTGGTCCAAGAAGATACAAGGAATAATTTCTATACTGTTAGATTTGCTGAGATTAGACTTGTGTTCTAGGATATGATCTATTTTGGGGGATGACCCATGGGCTGGTGAGAAGAATGTATATTCGGTTTTATTAGGGTGAATTGTTCTGTAGAGGTCTGTAAAGTGCGTTTGTTGTAGGGTCAGGTTTAAGTCTAATATTTCTTTGTTTAGTTTCTTCTTGCAATACCTATCCAAAACTGTCAAAGGAGTGTTAAAATCTCCAACTATTATAGTGCAGGAAGATATCAAGTTGTTTATATCTATTAGGGTCTGCTTTATGAATTGAGGAGCATGCTGGTAGGGTACATAAATGTTAATTATCGAAATCTCTTCATGTTGTGTGTTTCCCTTGACAAATATGTAGTAACCATCCTTATCTTTCTTTATCTTTGTTGGTTTAAAGCCAATTGTATCTGCTACTAAAATTGCAACCCCTGCTTTTTTCTGGTTTCCATTTGCCTGTATTATACAACTGCATCCCTTCACCCTGAGTCTATTATTATTGTTTAAGGTAAGATGAGATTCTTGTATATAGCAGATATCTGCTCTGAGTTTATGTATCCAATCAGCCAGCCTCTCCCTCTTTTAGAGGACAATTTAAACCATTCACATTAAGAGAACTAATAAGCCTGGTTGTGTTTTGGGTGTCATGATTTTCAGATGTCCAGTGGACATTTTTAATCCTTTCACTACTGTGGAGTTGGGTTTTGTTCAGAAATTTCTGGGTGAGTTTACTTTGGAGGTAGAGCATTGCACTGGTCATTGTGGAGAATGAGTCTGAGAATATCCTGGAGAGCTGGTTTAGTTATGGCAAAATTCTTCAACATATCTGTCATTGAAGTATTTGGTTTCTCCATTACAAATGAAACTCAGTTTAGCTGGATAGAGGATCCTGGGCTGGAAGTTGTTTTGTTTTAGGAGACTGAGGGTCGATGACCATCTTCTTCTGGCCTGAATTTTTTTGGCTGAGAGATCTGCAGTAATTCTGATATTTTTCTGTTTGTAGGTGATGCTTTTCTTACATCTGGCTGCTTACAGAATTTTCTTCTCCATCTTAACTTTGGCAAAGTTAATCACAAAGTGTCTAGGAGATGCTTTATTTGGATTGAGTCTTGCTGGGGTTCTGAAACTGTCTGCTATGTGAAGTTCTGTATCTGTTGTAATGCTTGGGAAATTCTACTACAAAATCTCTTGGAGTGGAGCATCTGTACCTTTAGGACCATCCTCTTCCCCTTCAGGAATTCCTGTAAGATGAATGTTTGATCTTTCAGAGTGATCCCTCAACTCTCTCAGGGATTGATCAGTTTTTGCTCTCCATTTGTCTGCCTCGTTGAGTGTTTGGGAACGTTCAAAAGCTTTGTCCTCAGTTTCAGAGATCCTTTCTTCTGCCTGGTCAACTCTGTTACTGAGGGATTCTACTGTATTTTTGGAGCTTCTCATCTAACTTTTTCATTTCCTTGAGGTCTGCTGTCTCTTTTCTCATTATGTCCATATCTTTGGTGACTTGGGCTTTGAATTCATTACTTTTTGGAGACAACTTTAGAACCACTCTTTGTAATTCAATTTCTATCTTTTCTTCCATTCTGTTTATCTTATTTGCAATCCATATTCTGAATTTTATTTCTGACCTTGCTGCCATTTTCTGTGCATGGCATCTTCTGCTGTATCTCCTTTGTCATTTCTTGGGGGAATTGATCTAGTCTGGTTATTCATGTTGCCAGAGTTCCTCTGTTGGATCCACACCATGGTTTTTTTTTTTTTTTTCTTAACCATTTGGTTATTAGAACTGATAGGGTGAGATTGAATTGGGGTTCCCAGGTAGTAGACATAACCCCTTACCAAAGCTCTAGGCTTTGTAATTGTGGCTTATCTCCTACAACCTTACAAAGGCCCCTTTCTGAGTTTTGGCCTGAGCCTCTGAGGATCTACTTGGTGAGGTAGAATAAGCTAGCTCTGTTTTGGTATCAGCCAACCTCTACCCTATCCTAAGAAACCACAGTATTAGATTTAAATCTCAACTGTGAAGAGATACAAACAGCTGCGGCTCCTGGCCCCCATTCTCAGTTCTTTTCCACTACAGAACTTTGAGGGTCAATCTCAGAATGTCCCTGAGTGGACAGCCCCGGACACAGGTTCCAACCAAATTGTCTCTGGCAGTACAAGCCCTCCCCAAAAGAGAGGGATTCAAGGCAGGGATCCAAAGTCTCACCTGCTAGATTCGGTCCAGGATATAGTCCACTTCTCTGCTCACAGGCCCAGCTGGAGGCAGGGGCAACGCCCCCGCCCACCATTCTCAGTCCACATTTAATTAGCTTGCCATACCAGTTGGAGTCAGGGGACCATGCCCCCACCTGCCAGTCTCAGTCCACTGCTTGGCAAGCCTCTATTTGCAGGTTCAGTTAAAGTCAGCAGACTGGCCCTGCCCTTTGGTCTCAGTCCAGCAGTAGCCTTTGCTTCCCAGACCAGTTGGAGTCAGGGGACCACACCCCCACCTGCCATTCTCAGTCCACTGCCTGGCAATCCTCTGTTTGTGGGCTCTCTTGGAGTCTGGGCACCACATTCCACCTGCAGGTCTCAGTCCTCACCTGGTAAGCCTCTGCTCACTAGCCCTCAGGTCTTGGTTCACACCCAGTAAGCCTTTGCTCAAGGGTTCTGTTGGAATCAGGGGACCACGCCCTTACTCTCAGGTCACAGTCCACGACTATCAAGCCTCTGCTTGTAGGCCTAGCAGGGGCTGGGGACCAGCCCTGTCTGCCGAACTCAGTCCACATGGGGCAACCACTGTCCCGCCGTGGGTGCCATCAGAGCCGGGGGTTCTCGTCCTGCCAGACACAGCCCAAACTGAGGGTCAGCACTACCACTGGCTGGGCATAGTCATAACCAGGGGACTGCTCCTCCTTCCGCCGAGTGTCCCTTTCTTCCCACACCCTCTTTCTTCCCCGTTAGTCACAGATTCCGCCTGATGGTTGGTGGTCCACACTATGCCCAGGTCTCTCAGGACAAAACCAAACACTCTGAGCTCTGCAGGGGGCAGAACTTCAGACCAACGTGTGAGGGGGGAAAGGGTGGACTGGGAATTTGGACTTGTGGGGGAAAATATCTGTTCAATTTTATGCTTGTGGGTTAGTGTCTAGGTTCATTAGTGGGACCTCCCTGGAGAAAGAGACCTGGAGTTTAGCAGCTCTCTCCAGCGAGATAAAATATTCCTTTTGTTCCCTGCTCATTCACAGAGAGCCTGCGGCAGGCCTCCTGGTTGGGAGAGGGGTCTCCCGTCCTCTAGTCAATAGGCTTTGTACCTGTAATTTGTTTCCTTGAATCGTCTTGCTTGGAGTTACAGCTTGCTGAACTTCTTTCTTGGCTCAGCTCCTTGTCTTTGGCTTCGTAGAGTCCTATTCTGTCCAGTTTTTGAACGGAAGGCTGCTCAGGAGCCTCTGCTGAGGGTTGCTACCTGTCAGCCATCTTCCCAGAATTCCCCGACTTAGAAATAAAGAGTTTGTGATACATATAAGGGATTTTTTGAAAATAGAAAAGTTTGTTAATGTGTATAACACTTTCTGGATTATAAAGGACTTTACCTTCTTTTCTAGGTTTGTTAAAGTTTTGCACTGTAGGCTTTTGTGGAATTGGGAGCCTAATTGATTTCATTCTCATTTCAATGCAGGTAAGTCAGTTTCTATCTAGATCGTAAACTACTTTTACATTCAAAATTGAGTTCTGTGATCTTCTGATATACTTAAAATTTTTAACATGCCTGTATTAGGAAGCAGATAGGAATGCTTGTTTCAGTATTTTTTCAGGTGGAGGATCTAAGGGAGCATGGCCCTGTTTTCAACTAGCACTTCCCAAACCCGTTAGTGATTCTGCAAGACCTCAGAAGTTATTAAAAAGGATTCCATCTCAAATGTGATTTGTAAATGTGAGTTCAACTGAGCGAAAGAGCTTTTGTTACTGAATAACTTTCCAGAAGTCTATAGTATGTATCAAGTCTCTAAGCGGAATTGTGGTTATTTTTTAAGCTTACTATTTTCCTGATAGTCACAGTCACCTTGTCAGTTACTACAAAAAAAATTGATGGGGTCTCAATATGAATATTGTGGAGGCAGAAACAAGATCTTTTGCACCAAATAGGCACTTTATAGTATTCTGTTGGATGTGAATTACAAAAACTGAAATCCACTTACTTAAGCCAAAAAGAAAAAGGAATGTATATGTACTCTAGAAAGTCTAGGAGTGGGGCTGGCCTCAGGCAGGACCAGATCCAGATGAACACGTTACCAAGACCCTCCTGATACTCAGCTCTGTGCCTCTCCTCAGCCTGGTGTCCTCTGCTGCAGTGGGTGTGGGCCAGCCGGCGTCGTCTGAAATGCTGTCCTTAAGCATTTAGAAGTCCCACCAGATGTTTTCTGTTAAATCGTACTGAGCTGGTTGTGATTAACTCAGAGGATTCTTAAGTTAGAGAAGGAGATGAATGTTTTAGGACAGATGTGGTCGGACGGCGTTCCGGCAGGCGTTTCTGAGCACCGACGTGTTGAGCAGGCGTGCCGTGTGCTTCACTCTGCTGTCCCATACCACCATATCACCGTCTCCTCAATCCTGTCTGCCTGATAGTATCATTATATTTTACAGAAAGTCAAAATCTTGGAGATTTTGATACCATACTGTGAGGAGGAGGCAGCATATGGACCAATAAGATACCAGAATTAAACAAGGAAAATATTTGGTTTTAAACTTGGGATTTTTCTGTCTTTACTCACAAGCATATGCCTAACCAAACTTCCTGCCTTCTCCGACTGGGGTGGGAAGCAGGCAGGAAGAGGCTGAGCTGCGCGTGCACATGTGCTTGGAGACGAGTTTCTCACTTTAAAGAGGATCCAAGGAATTCAGTGTATTAGTGGGACTCTTCAAGTTAAGATCTCCAGAATCCAAAGTGCCTTTGAAACCCAACCATTTAGATCATGTTTTCGTGCGAGGCCCTTTCTCTGGTCCCGCCATTGCTTTGCGGCTCTCGTGTGGAATTGTAGAGCTGGTCTGATTCAGCCCCTGCTTTCTGGTTCACATATACCTGACCTTTTTGCAATAAATAGTTCTTTTCTTAACCATCTCCTGGGTTTGAGACTATCACATTAAAAATTGTTGAGGTGTAGAATTAGAGTGTTTGAATTTCTGTAGTAAATTTCCCTGAATCAGACATTTTAATAGTAATAGCCAGTTTAGACTTCTTTCTGACTGGGAACAAATAAATCAGTTTATAGCCAAATAAGATGGGTAGCCTTAGTCTTCTTGTCACTTAATATATTTAACATATGATAATTGGCTCGGTGCCTGTGGCTCAAGCGGCTAAGGCGCCAGCCACATACACCTAAGGTGGCCGGTTCAAATCCCCAGCCCAGGCCGCCAAACAACAATGATGGTTGCAACCAAAAAATAGCCAGGCGTTGTGGCGGGCGCCTGTGGTCAAGCGGCTAAGGCGCCAGCCACATACACCTGAGCTGGCGGGTTTGAATCCAGCCGGGGCCTGCCCAACAACAATGATGGCTGCAACCAAAAGATAGCCAGGCGTTGTGGTGGGTGCCTGTGGTCCCAGCTACTTGGGAGGCTGAGGCAGGAGACTCGTTAGAGCCCAGGAGTTGGAGGTTGCTGTGAGCTGTGAATGCCATGGCACTCTACCCAGGGGGACAGCTTGAGTCTCTGTCTCAAAAAATAAATAAATAAAAAATAAAGATAATTTTCATTTTTGGTCCACTTTTCTCTCACGGGCATTTAATAATTGTAAACATGATGACTGACATAAATAAAAGCATAGTTTTTATTATGTCA